AGCCTTTAGCCACTAACTTGGCCTTGTATCTGACATATGTAGCACTTGAATTATCAATCTTTCTTTTATAGACCCACTTATAGCCAACAATCTTCTTCTTCTTTAGAGGCTTCACAAGTGTCCATGTTTGATTCTTTTGCAATAAGTGAATTTCTTCTTGCATAGCTGAGATCCAACTCGCAACATTTTCAGAAGATATGGCTTCTTTGTAGCTTTCAGGTTCACTGTATTCCACCTCTTCGACTATGGCAAGGCAATACGCAAAATCTAAATAGCCATACTTCTCTAGTGGTTTGATGGTTCTTTTGGGTCTATCTCTGGCAAGGCTATAAGACTACTCTTGTTGATCTTTCAAAATCTCCTCTTACTGTTTTGAGCTTTCTTCATCAACCTGATGATCACTCTAAGTTGAAATAGAACTATGAGATTATGTAGGCTGAGCAACAACTTCAAACTCCACCTATTCTTGATCTTTCTCCTTAACCTAAACAGGTGTCTTTATTGCTTCTCCTCTGTCTTTAAGCATGGAAGACTTATCAAATGTCACATCTTTTCTAATTGAGAACTTATTTTGATTTAGATACCATAATCTGTATCCCTTCACATTAGATGAATACCCAAGGAACACATACTTCTTTGCTCTTGGTGCAAGCTTTCCTTCATTTACATGAGCATATGCGGGACAACAAAAAACTTTCAATATAGAATAATTGATGGGCTTGCCAGACCATACCTTTTCTGCGGTCTTATACTCAATGAATGTGTTGGGAGAGCGGTTAGCTAGCCAAACTGCTGTGTTTACTGCTTCAGCCCAAAACTCCTTCCCCAACCCTACATTTGAAAGCATACATCAAGCTTTCTCAAGTAGTGTTCTATTCATCCTTTCTACAACTTCATTTTGTTGTGGAGTTCCTACAACAGTTCTATGTCTTGCAATGTCTTCCTTTCTACAAAACTTATTGAATTTTTCATTACAAAACTCAAGTCGGTTTTCTGTTCTATGCCTCTTGATGTGCTTACATGTTTGCTTTTCAACTAAAGTCTTCCACTACTTAAAGGTTGCAAACACTTGACTCTTCTCCTTCAAGAAATATGCCCAAACTCTACTAGAGAAATGATCAATGAAAATGAGCATGTACTTAGCTTTAGTACCTTTAAAAGGAACTTGAGATAGCCCCCAAAGATCTGAATGGATGTAATCTTGAGTTCCTTTTGTCTTGTGTATGGTTGTGCTAAAACTCAATCTCTTCTGTTTCCCAAATATATAATGCTCGAAGAACTCCAACGTCCCTCTTTTTTGTCCACACACCAAACCTCTCTTACTTAATACTGCCATCCCTTTTTCACTCATGTGACCAAGAGTTTGGTGTTATCTGAATCAGATAAAGAATTGACAACAGCTGCTGAATTTATAATTGTAGATCCCTATAGAAAATACAAAGTGCCAAATCTCTCTATGTTCATCACTGACAAAGCACCCTTTGAAACTTTGAGCACTCTATCTTTGCACTTGATTTTGCAACTATTCTTCTCTAGAGACCCCAAAGAAATCAAATACTTCTTCAAGTCTAGAATGTGTTTAACATCAGAAAGTGTTCTAACCACCTCATCATGCATCTTGATTTGTATTGTGCCTATACCAGCCACCTTACATACGTAATCATTACCAAGAAACACACTTCCATTGAACACTTCATAGGTTACAAACCAATCTCTATTAGGAATCAAATGTTGTGAGGCTCCTGCATCCCAACTTGTCTCAAAATCGTGTTTAGTGTCATTCACACATAGCAATTCGCCATTATCATCATCTGCAATATTTGTTTCTTTTGACTTAGACTTATTGTCATCTGTTTTCTACTTATTCTTCCATCTAAAACAATCAGCCTTAATATGTCCCTTCTTCTTGCAATAATTACATGTCAAATTCCTATGTCTAGACTTAGACGTAGACTTTCCTGAATTTGAATTTCTCATTCTTCCTCTATCCACAAACAACCCAACACTCTGATTACTCCTTTTAGTAATCGCCAAATTTTTATCAATCTTTTCTTTTGTTTCTAAATTTGACTTATCCATTTCTAGGGACAATTCATCTCTACCATAAATCATAATGTCTCTGAAATTTTTATTGGAAGTAGGCAAAGAACATAATAGTAAAAGCGCTTGATCCTCATCCTCAATTTTCACATCAATCTTACTTAAGTCTGTAATTATTGATGAAAATTTAGCTAAATGCGAATTTAAGGAACTACCATCTAACATTCACAATGTGTAAAGACGTTGCTTTAACTGTAGCCTGTTTGTGAGAGATTTTGTCAGGTACTTATTCTCCAACTTTTTCCATGCTTCTATTGTTGTCTTCACTTCTAATATCTCTCTGAGTACATCCGAAGTCAATGCTAGCTGGATTGTTGAAAGGGCCTTATTTTCCATATCCTCCCATTCAACATCTGTCATAATCTCAAGCTTCTTTGCCTACTCTTACAGTGCCTTCTTGGCACCTTCCTTTGTCAATATTGCCATCATTCTAACTTGCCATATTGCAAAGCTTGTTGTACCATCAAACTTCTCAACTTCAGCCTTACAGGATAATCTGGTTATGCCGGATCTTGAACTAGACTCCATTACACCAAGCTCTTATAATAGTTTGTTATGAAATATACCCAAGATCTATGAAAAGTGTGATGCAAAAAGGTCAAATAACAAGCAAGAAATATAAACAAGTGACACAAAGAATTTACGTGAAAACCCAAATTGGGAAAAAACCACAAGCAGAGGATGGAGAATAATCCACTATAATGAAAGTCTGATTACAAATCTGCTCTCTCTTTCTCAATAGATTTCAGGAAGGAAAAGAATAAAGAATAGTTTCTCACCAATGAAATTAGGGAGTTTATAAACTAAAACCCTAGGTCCTTGAGAATACAAAAATTCCCTCACTAAACATGTAAACAAATAAGGACAATATAAAAGGAATTTGTGTCACACATCAACATACAGGAATATGAAATGATAAATATTGATAATAAGGTAGTAATTAGCTTGCTGTTTTGTTTTATAAACCTTCAATATGCAAAATCATCATGAAATAAATGGATTAAAGTGATGGCTTTGTATTGTTACCCATTCATTGATGCTAGCAAAATCTCTCTCTCTCTAATTAACACAAATTAATACTTGATATCTAATTATCACATTATTACAAGCCAACAATGCCACTAAAAAACGTAGATTTCTTGAAGGAAGATAAGACATCGATGTGATCATTATTCATTAATATGAAATACTAGTTTGGTAAAGGGTGAAAAACTACACTTTTAGTTTGACACAGCCAGATCTAGATCCATGGCAAGCCCCAAAACCAAAAACATTCACCTAGCAAGCTTCACTTTCAACCAGTCTTAAACTGGCAACAAGCAGTGGTTATATCTTCTATGGGTCTTCAAGCTTCATTAATTTGTAGTCAAATGGTAAGCTAACAGAAATTGCTTTCAGAAATATCACTCTCGTTTTTGAAATTATGTTCAACACACTAATTACATATCCAAGACATCCAGATACAAGATGTATACAGTAGAAGAGTTGAGTCCTAGTATACAAAAAGAGAAGTTAATGAAAAGAGAGAAAGAATGTCATAGAATAATACAAGTGACAACAAAATGTGCCAACTTACTAAACTAACATAAATAATTTCTTATTAACCACAATAGATAAATTTTTAGTCTAATGTCTCAAACAATTCAACATTACAGAGACTTGAGCTGTAGAAGAACCAAATTTTACCAAAGTAATTATAGTCTCCCAAATAAGAACCTTTTCTGGTGAACAAGCAAGAATGCACCTCTGAAGAACTCCAATTTATTTTAGTAGTTAAGTTGTTGCAAGCTAACAAATTGCTATGAATCACTGGTTTTTGCAACATTCCCTATCGCCTCAATCAAAGAAAAGTATATGAATCATTTGAAATAATGAACATCCATTTATTTCATTTTTGTCGTAATATTATTAGAATGTATTGGTTTACAGGGATTGAATTATTTCTTTTTCTCCCAAGTACTAGAAATAGGGTATGGAATATATTAGAAGCTAATTTTGACCATACAAGATATTTAGAAAAGTTATTAAACTTTAAGCATGATGATAAACAATTAAACATACAAGCAAACATAAAATGAAACAACTATGCTCTATAATATATAGAATGGGTGGCATCATCAAGAGATGATGATGTTTTAGTAAAAGAATAAATTATTTATGCTACAAATATTTTAATATTAGGTAATTATATATGTAATTTATATACATTCATGAAGATTAGCTACTTGGCCAGCTGATCATTGAGGTCGCCTCTAATTTTCAACACGTGAGTGGGCTCGCGCTCATCGGCTATGACTTTGACCAATTTTTCTAATGGTCCTCTAGCAGATTCTTCTTCAAGTGTATGAGGATCAATTGTATTCTCGGAGGGACCAGGTCGTGGTTCTTTCCCCTTGAAGGTCATCATCTATGGTCGCTTACTCTTTGAAGCGATATGGACAACTTTATTGTAGCACTCTCGAGAGTCTAGTTGCAACTATTTGACCACTCTTACTCCACTAGGGGTTGAAAATTTCATCATCTAGTGGTAGATGGACGATCCTGCCTTCAGACTTCGGAGGAGAGGTCTCCCATTACTGTGTTGAAAGCATACGAGTAGTCCACGACCACGAAATATATTATTTTTGTCGCCTTGTTTTTCTCACCGGCTGTGCCAAGTAGGGTGATTATGCGTGGGGGAAAATGTGGTCCCTTGTAAATCCTTACAAATGTGTGGCAACTGGCTTTAGGTTCGCATCCTTAAGCTNATGGATGAAGGTTGTCTATTGATCGGAAAGCATACAGAAATTATGAGTTTGGTCTTCGTTACGATGAATTGAAGATGCTTCAGATTGATTCTAATATTGTAAATAAATGTGAAGTTCCTGCATTGTTTACATCTGCGCATGTTTGACAACTGCAATTGTGAGTGCTGAGTGTAGCAGTGGATGGATTTTACTCAACTAACTTCTTTTATTTTGTTGAGTTCAAGTACTGAATGCTATATACATATCCTTTTGTATCCTTTAAAATAACAATTGTACTGAATGCTAAATATATTTGAGCAGGCAGATCTCAGCAAACCAGAGACCATACCTGCAACATTGGTTGGCGTTCATATAGTCATTGACTGTGCCACAGCGCGCCCAGAAGAGCCCATAAAAACGGTAAGTTTCACGTCGAATGTTTGATTCATTTCTTTGTTTTCCTTTACTGGATCAAAAATGACTACAGGAAGAAACAGGTTTGTACAGTAAACCATTTACTTATTTGCCTCTGTACATTGCTAACTCCATACCTTTTATAGGCCTTTCATTTAGATTGTCCTTAAAGATTTGAGACATCGAAGTCATAGTCATTTCTAATTGTATGTTACTACGGCTCGTGGGCTGTATCTGATCTCTCTGTTCTATTTAGGTAGACTGGGAAGGAAAAGTTGCTCTTATACAATGTGCAAAAGCAATGGGAATACAGAAGTATGTATTTTATTCCATTCACAACTGTGACAAGCACCCTGAGGTTCCACTGATGGAAATCAAGTATTGCACAGAGAAGTTTCTGAAGGATTCAGGCCTAACTCACATCATAATCCGGTTGTGTGGTTTCATGCAAGTAAATTCACCTAAATTGAAATTCTGAACATGCTGTTAAATGTAGTTTCTGCATGCTTTAGTCTTCGGTTCTTCTGTCAGCTAGATAAATTAGATTATAGCCCTTCATCGTTGATTATTCTCCACATTACAGTCGTCCATGCCCTTTCACCCAAAATATAACAAGTGAGAACAGCTATGAATGATTTTATGTTGAATAATTCAAAAAGAACAAATCTTCANGACATATGGGCTTGTAGATCAAAAACCGATTTTTTAACTGTCACAGTACATTTCTTAGATCATAATTGGGGTTTACAACAAAAATTGATAGGTTTTAAACCATTATATGAAAAACATAGTGCTGAAACTATTTATTTTACAATTTTTGAAGTTTTGCAAGAATATTTATTAACTGGTAGAGTGGTAGCGCTAACACTTGATAATGCAGCTGCTAACACCGCGACAATCTCTTTATTTGAAAAGAGATTGGATCCGCGTGGTGAAGGAAAATTTTTTCACCAGAGATTTGCTTGAGACATCATCAATTTGATAGTTAAAGCAGGTTTAGATGTTATACATTCGAAGATAGAGACGGTGCACAGAGCTATCAGATTTATCGTCGGTGGTAGCAATAAAAGATGGTAGGAGTACGTCAAATATTGTAAGTCAGAGGACCCATCAGTTCGACCTTTGAATTTATGTACAGACATGCCTATCCGTTGGAACTCCACCTACTTGATGTTGGAAAAAGCTTTGCCAATCGCAAAATAAATTACAGATTTCATCAACCAGAAGAACCGTCCGGAGGAAGTTGTCAGCTATGATGATTNTTTTTCCTTCTCTTTCTCTTCATCTCCTCTTTTCTTTCTTCTAATCTTCTTCCTTACTCTTTCTCGTGTCTCCTCTTCTCTTTCTTCTTCCTTCCCTTCCCTTCCTCTCCCCTCCCCTTACTTCTTCTTTATAGTTGAAGATGAAAATGGAAGATAATGAAACAGTGCTGAAATTAGTTTAGGAATATGATTTTTTTTTTGAATTAGACGAACCATTTTAAGCCCCAGGCCGGTCCGTTCGACGGTTTTGTACTGTTCTGTCGGTCCATTACCGGTCCAAAACGGGTTTATTAATATTCCCGGTTTTATGTAAACCCGGACCGAAGTAAAAGATGGCTCTCGGTCGAACCGGTCAGACCGGCCGGTCCAGTCCGGGTTTTAAAATAGAGCACGCAGGCGCAAGCGTAGGCCTCCTATATGGCCATCAGTTTAGAACTAAGTATATGTTCTTTTTTTTTTTTTTTGTTTTTTATTATGACCAAGGGTGTATGAGCCAGTTTGCACGTACCTCAATTTATCTTTTAAAACCTTGGAACTATCGGTCAAATAAGAGTTCAAAATGATCATCTCTATTAACAATCGAGGTGAATCGAACAAAGCAAATGTTGAAGATGTTGAGCTTGACAACTTTATTCTTAGGTAGCACTAGCCTTACAAAGAGACAATCTACATTCTTAAAATTCATTATTACCTCTCTTTCTCTCTCTTTTTCCCTTCTTTTAAGGTTAAGGATTATCTCTTTGTATGACTTTTTGTATGCCTCTTTGTAAGGTTAGTGTTACTCTTATTCTTATATAATTTTTATAAAGAAATTGCATTTATTGAAATTCAATTCAATCTTAGTAGCATAATGAGTAACTTCAAATTGATAATATAAAAAAAAAATTGTTAACCCACCCATGACCCACTCACCCGTGTGGGTACAAGGCTATGTCTACTTGGATGTGATGGGTTGACCCTAATTTAAAAGTAACAACAAAGTGGAAGCTGATGATACAAATTACAATGACATTTGAGGTTCATTTTGAGATTGAAGGGCAAGATGGGCAGGCATTGTTTAAAAATCGGATCATTCTTGACCGGTCAAAGGGCCAGTTGCGGTTGACCGGTCCAACCGATTAACAGTCCCTCTTTAAACAATTCCATTATTGTTATAAGTTTGAAAACTAGTAATACATCCTAAAAGTTACATGTAAACCCTGTGAGTTTAAATAAAGTAAACACCCTCAAGTTTTATTTTTAATATTTTCTCCTCTCCCCGTCACTTCCATCTTTCACTTTTCTCTCTCTCCCATCACGCCCATCATTCTCCATCAATTTCTTTCTTTTTCTTTTTCTTTTTCTCTCTTTCTCCCCCATCACTCCTTGTCACTTTCTTCTTTCCTCTTCCTCTCATCTCTTCTCTCTTTCTTCTTCCTCTATTGTAATTTTTCTTCACTTTCTTCTACTAAGTTTAAAGGAAATATATCAATACCCTTTTACGTTTCTGATGGATAACTAAGAAGAAACCTAAAATAGGGAAGAAAAGGACCGGAGATGTTGTTTATGCTAAAGAACGGCCAAACTGAGAAACAATAAATGGGAATTCACATTATAATTTTAACAATGTAGCAGTTGCATTCTTCCAATGCTGCTGCTCATCAACTTTCTTTATGATTTTTCATTTTACAGTTCCGTCGTTGTTATGGCACAAATGCTAATATCTTGCATGGGACAATTGTAGGTTCTTACAAGTGATACCGTTTTCTCTATTCCGATGACTGAGACTTATAATCTTCTTGGGGTGGACTTCAAAGATATAATTACACTCGAGAAATATTTGCAGGATTACTTCACAAACATATTGAAGAAATTGAAGGACCTGAAAGCACAATCAAAGCAGAGTGATATTTTCATACGAAGGAATATCATTTTGTTATTGTAAATGAAGACACGTCATTATATCATTAAATGATCTTACTATGTTAGTAAAGTGAGATGATAAAACTATATCTTATAAACATTTACTGGAAAAAAAAAAAAAAAAAAAAAACCTCTAGTCATGTTAAATATGAAGTGGGTTGTGGGTAGCACTTGGGCTTTTACCATCTCAAGTCCTAAAGGAGTTCAAATTAGTGGTTTATGGGCCAAATTATCATGACACGCAGGCGCAAGCCTAGGCCTCCTATATGGCCTTCTTATTATGATCAAGGGTATATGAGCCAGTTTGCACATACTTAAATTTATCTTTCAAAACTTTGGAACTATCAATCAAATAAGAGTTCAAAATGATCATCTCTATTAGCAATCGAGGTGATGTTGAGTTTGACAACTTTATTCTTATATAATTTTTATAAAGAAATTGCATTTATTGAAATTCAATTCAATCTTAGTGGCATAATGAGTAACTTCAAATTGATAATATAAAAAAAAAAAATTGTTAACCCACCCATGACCCACTCACCCGTGTGGGTACAAGGCTATGTCTACTTGGATGTGATGGGTTGACCCAAATTTAAAAGTAACAACAAAGTGGAAGTTGATGATCCAAATTATAATGACATTTGAGGTTCATTTTGAGATTGAAGGGTAAGATGGGTGGACAAGGATTTTCATTTTTGCCCTACCTACCAAAGTCCAATAATAAGAGATGTAACTTCACACAAAAGTTACAAAGTTTAAGATGAGTTTTGGTTAAATTTTGGAGATTAAAAAGGCTCAAATTAAACAAACCCATTTGGCATTCTATTAACCAAATTTGGGTTTGGGATTGGGACCCTATTTGATTGATGAAATAATTTAATATTTTCACATGCCTTTGCTAATTGCTTGCTTCAGCCCATTTGCTCAAATGGATGGTGGGCAAGGGTGAGGGTGAGGGTGAGAGTGAAGTTTGATGATTAATGGTTTGAAAAATTATGATGAAAATCATTGTCTCTTGTGAAAGAAGCTTGAAGGGACCAAATCCAATGTATTTTTATTGTTATTGATTCATATTCCATAATAAAATCAAATCAAATAATTTGCACTAGAAAGGGGAATCATATAATTTTGATTGGAAACCAGCTTTCCTTTTGGGTTTCCTCTAATCTTATATTGTTTCAAAAGTTTGATATGATGGGTATGGAATGGAATAACATGTTATTTGGTCCATCTCTACATCCTCTGTCACTCCAATTTTATATTATTATGTCACGGGTTGGAAGTTTCACTTCAAATAAGCTAATCTGTTACGTGGAGGGACTCTCATTTTTTATAAGTCCAAAACTTCTCCCCTGGATTTATACTTGTTAAATTCTAGGTCAAACCAATTAACATATTTGCACGGGTTTTTTAAATTTTATGCGAACGTTTTTAACTTAAAACACGTCTATTAACTTCTAAACCGAATTCAAACTCATTCACTGAGTGATGTGAGTTGTAACAATGCTTTTGCTATTTTACTGTTCTTAAAATAGAAGAGATGTTGTGAGTGTTAATTTAAGAAAAATAATTGATCAGGAATAAAGGTGATATTGATTCATTTCATTACATTTCATATATATCAATTCTAGGCCAACCAGCTACTAACCTACAATTGATTAAAGTTTTTTCCTTCCCAAATTATATTAAACATATTCTTAAAACAATAAAATTATAAATCTTAATTAAGTGATATCACAAATTTTTTATATAAAATGTTGTGTCATCTTATATAATACAATTAATAATAAGTGTAAATGATAAACAGATGCATAGACAATAATATATCATTTGCATAATTTTTTTTTAAGGATATTATGAGATGATTAGTCTCTTTCAGAAAGATACTATGATATAAATTATCATTGGGTGGTCGAGTAGTCAACTAGGGTTCTTTAGTGTATTACTCAAGAGGTTTTGAATTCGATTCACCTCAGCCCCTAATAAGGATGGCCACTGTAAACTTACCTGGTCGTTAATTTCAGAACAAATTTATAAATTAAAATGATAATAAAATGGAGAAGGAAGTGATGAATTTGTAGAGAGGTCTCGAAATTGAAATGTATATAGTATTTGTAGAAATAAGAATTGAGTTGTGATATTGGACCACTAGCTCCTTGGTTATGTGTCCACCCACACATTCATATAATTTATGGTGCATCATATGTCCCATTCTCCTCTCTTTCCCTCCCACCAATTTTGTATATCCTCTTATCTATCACTTCCCACAATCACATGACTGTGTTATAGGAACACTCCAAATTGTCTCAAACTCAGCACGGTTTATTTTTGTATACTTGTGAACTTGATTTGTATGTATTATTCACATGCATTTTTCAACCATTTTTACTCCCAACATTTCCTCAATATCCAATAAAATTTTATTCCCCTTTTCTTTTATTATTATTAAAGGTAGTAAAAAATGTGGGTCCAAAGTGTGCATATTGAAATATGTCATAATCCACTCTCATGAAATTATTGTTATGAAAATAAATAAATAATATTCTTGTTGATTAATTTTAACTTTCCCATATTTCTAAAAGAAACAGCATTATCATTGTAATTCTGATCACTATCTACTCATTGGGGGAAGGGATGGATCCTCTTTGTCTTCATCACTCATCAATCTCCAATACTTTTGGCTTTTCACTGTGGTAGGCCATTTTTGGATATTCTCTCTTCTTTTTTATCATTTATTTATTAATTTGATTAACTATCATAACTTCATATTTATGGACGGGTTTAGAAAGAATTAAAGGACTATGTAGTCATAACTAGGGGTGAAAATGGAGTTGCGAGCGGCTCGATTTTGGCTCGGGCTCGACTTGATAATAGTCGAGTCAAGTTCGAGTTCGAGTAGCTCGAATACTTATTCAAGTCTAGTTCGATCATGGTACAACTCGATTTGAGAAACTCAAAAAGCTCAATTAAGCTCGATTAAAACTCAATTATACGAGCTTGAATTCTAATTCAAGTACCGAGCTTGAGTTTGAACTCGATTCCTCTGGTTTGGTCAGACTCGAATTCGATACTGTAACAATCGAGTCGAGTTCGAATAATCAGATACTTGACTCAACTCAATTTCACCCATAGCCCCTAGTGATAACATTCCTTTTGCCTTAATTAGATATTAATTAGTAATGAATTAGGATCAATTTCTTGATATTCCAAGCTGACAACTGGTGGGTGGACTTTTAGGGCACTGACTTGACCCACCTGACCTTTTATTTATTTATTTGATTAATTCTCTCTTTTCATGGACAAATCAAAAAGAAAACTTGTAATTTTGAAAGAAAAAGAGAGGTATAGGCATTTAACATATATAAAATTTTGAATATATTTATATATACGTATGTATGAGAAACCTTAAAAAGTGAGAAGAAAAACCTAACATTGTTTTGATAGGATTGGAGTTTTGGTTGAGTGAATAATAGTGAAAGTGATCGTCAAGATTGATAAGTGATGAAGTCCCATCACTCCAGGGCAGACTGATGGGGATTACTTTTTTTCATGAAAACAGATGGAAGCTTTTACATTACGTTAAAAGAAGAGAACTATATATATATAATTATATTTATATGAATATGAATGTAAATGTAAATTCTTGGCATATTATATACTTTACTTTGTCACATGAGATGGCAGATGAATCATCTTAGAATAGGAATACAGTGTCCTACTTCTGTCACTTTTGTTCCCCACAAGACGATTTTCTTTATTCTTCTTAATCATATATTCAATCTGTCTCAACAACAGTAGAGATAATATCATGAAAGCTAAAAACTTTTAGGTTAAATTTTATGTATATCAGATAACCGTTTAACATATATTTAGGCAGACAGGTTTCGCAGTTAGATTTGGATGGTTCTTCATATAAAAGAAAGGCATTAATGAGAGGTTAAATCATAAGATTCAATTGAAGGAAAAGGAGAGGGACAAGAAAACAAATGAAGAAGACGAGAGAGAGAGAAATACAATTATGGGAATTAGATTTGAAAATATGAGACTGGGTAGAGGCAATGTAACATTAGCTTTAGTAGTAGTGATGGGGCTGGGGTTGGGTCCCTTCATTCAACCACCTACCAGCAAACCATGTTAACTCCTCTGAGGAATTAGGGCATTCTCAACGCCCACACAATCCGACCCATTTTAAAACTTTAATATTTGAAGGTAAAAGGTTAACTTACTATGTCACGTCCCACGTTGCTAAGCGAATAAATTTTGGATTAAGTTTATAAGACTTAATCCTCTTGATTAAGTATACGTATTTTAGATGACGAACGTTTGTGTAAAGTCTAAATGTAAATCCGTGCAAGTTTGGGCATCAAACATACAATTTGTACTTGGTTGGATTCGCGATTGGATATACTATGTATAAAACTAATTTTTTGTGTTGGATTGGGTGGATGTATCATGTCTTGTACATTGAAATGACTTAATATTGAGCAGATATCTATGTATCCATCTAATTAAGCATCTTCTCTTAAACTACATGATATATTCACTTAAAAGAACTATGTTTACCTTTACCTGTTTTTCATCTAATTAATGATGAATAGATAATGAAGAAAACACCCGACCATCATAAGCATCTATATAGTAATACAATTATGTCAAATTTTGTCTAAACACATGATATTTTACTAAGATATTACTTAAGAATCAGTTTAATATAATTGTAAATTCGTTGTAGTCATAAATATATATGTTTTATATCCATCACTCGATATTATATGTACCTTAATACAACCACGATGTCGATAAAGTGGACAAAAGCGTTGAGGTAAGTCAACACCGACACTAAATTTATGCAATCACTCGTTGAAACATCATTGTGAGAAATAATATGTCCGGATGTCAATTCCGGTGTCAATGTCCTGGCGTCGGACTTGGTTTTGTGAATCTCTCTTTCCGAAAGATGATCATGTTGTACACAAAACAATTATAGATTTGGAGACCAATACGTATGGAATAAATCAAAAACTCATTGTAAATGCTCTCAAAACTTCGCAAAATTCAAACAAAGAACACGTGTAATCAGTTTCGAAAACTAAGTAAATGAGATTAT